CAGACCTCCCATCATCTTTGCTTGATAACCTAGTGGTCATGATGGACCGTTCTTGATCTTGATGAAGGTGAATCTAAACACACACCCACACACAACCCCTCCCCTCCCAAGCCCTAATCAAATTGAATTCTTGTAAGCAGGTTCCTGATCAGGCTGAAGTCTTCTCTGGAAGTCCAGGGCTGTGGTCCTGCTCTTTACCTGTTTTCCTTTCTCTCAGAATTCTGAACTTTGGACTTCTGAAAATGCAGACTCTTAGAGAACTTCCAGTAGAGCTCTGTAACACCAGAGATGAGACAGTTTGCTGATCTCCTACAACTTCTTCGTTTGACAGTGCATGTAGTCCACCAGTGTGACCACCTGTTGCAGACAAGTATTCCTCCCTGCCCCACTAAGAGGCCACAGCACTCCCTACAGCTCTAGTTCTGTATCCTCCCTGAGGAACTTCGTCTGGGCCAAAGCCTCTGATGATACAGAGACAGCTGCTCCTCTGCAGCACCACATCACATCACTGAATACACACACACTACCCTCAGCAGAACTCCTGATGCTTTTCTGCATAGAAGGCTAGCTGATCTTTGTTAGCTGACTCCATGAGATGTAATAAAGACCAGCCCTTCCACCTGCTGCAAGGTTGCCTGACCATTCCTCACCAGGAGTCAGCTGGGATGAAAGCTGGTCAAGGACATCTCAGAGCTTGTTAGAAGCTGCTAGATAGAGCTTGGCAGTCACAGCTGACTATGGTGATCCTTCCTTCTCAACAGGTTCCTCAGAGACCTCCCACAAGTCCTCCAGTGATCTTGGAGAAAGTTCCCAGGAGATCTAGAAGATTACAAAGCAGAGCCCAGGAACTACTACACCAACTGCAGCATCTGCTGAATTAAATTCGTTAGTTGCCTTAAATTTAGGATATGTAATGATCATAGAGATAAGATCTTGAAGAGATATGATATGATTCCTGGTATGGACTGCAGAGAAGTGTCATTTTTTTTTAGAAAAAGGAGATAGAAATTTAGCTGGTAATTTACAAGCCTTGTTAGATACATTTGGTTTTATATCTTGTGGACTGAAGCACAATTAGAAAATAACAAATATTGTTATTCACATTGTTTCTGCAACATGTAAGTATCTAAAAAGTAAATGTCTGGTGTGAGAAGATGATGATTAGTTTTGGAAATTCTAATGAAATCTTTATTCAAAGACAGTTCAGATTTCTTATCCATTTGCTTCCTATAGATGAGCAACATCAGATTAAACAATTAGTTACTTATAAAATATACAGCTCAGATCATAATCTCTAAATGATGTTAGGAGCTAACGCTCAATACTATTAACCTCTAATGAGATGATACTTCAAATCTCATATTGCATTGTACAGTTAGGGAAAAACAACCAACACACATGCACACAGAGTGAAACCAGAAATCAGTTCTTGGACAACTGTCCTGAAAGCTTCTAAGAGACCTAGAAACATCATTGTTGCATCTAATGAAGGCACCGAGACATTAACGTGAGTGTTTAATGAAGAAGAATCACCCTCAGTGTAACTGGGTAACTGTTCTTTATTTATCTTAAATATTTGGGCATTATAAATGCAAAGGCAATAACAGAAATTAGGCAGGATGTAATTACTGGTGGAAAAATAAATATGCTAACTGTAAGTCTAACATACTGAAGGTGATCTGCAAGACTGCATAAATTAGCCAGGAAAAAGAAACCATTCTTTGTAACATATTATCTTGGTATGGAAAAAGAAGATATAGAACATAATAAATTTAAAATAAAACATCTTATTGTTATTGTGAAAATGGTCATAAAATACACTTGGAACCACTGTCACATTCTCTCCTGACATTACTTCATTGACTTCAAATGGAACTAGTCCAGCAGAGAATTTGCTTCTCACAATTCTTATAATGTAAGGTAAGAATTAATTCCTCCAATGATATTACCAGACAGATCAATTTTCAGCTTGTATATTCCTTAAGAAAGCATGTCCCTGAAGACCAGAAGTACTCAGCATAGCTACATAAACCTAATATGTGAAATGTAATTTTGAATTTCTAGATGTAATCCAATTGAAAGTTGAAGTACAGTTAGTTAGTGGCTTTAATAATATTATACTAATCTGAAAGATAAAGAATTTTATCTCTGTTTAGAGCACTTTAGTTTTTCCAGATATTTCTTAATGGATTGTATCTAGTAATTTAAACATCATTTAATAAGTATTTGTTTGCTTGCTTGTTTTTTTGTTTGGGTTATTTTTAGGTATGGCATGAATCTTGCATTTTTTTTTATTTTTTTTTTTTTTTACCATGCAGATGCAGAATTTTTATCACAGAACTTCAAACAGTCCTATGGCCAAGCAACAAAAATACCTAAGTTCCCTACAGAGTACTTTTTTTAGGACAAGCCTAACAGCTCTGGAAAGACAAATGCTCTATATGGAGGGCAATACTATATGGGCTAAATACTATCTAAATCATAAATAAAAAATCAATAATCCCTGCCAGAGATATCTAAAGTCAATAGGCTCTCCCTGATCATCCCACTGCTACTGAGGTTAGACTTCTGATACGCCTGTATGTATCAGAAGTCTGTAAGCCCTACCTGCTTCCTGCCAAAGTCTTTTCTGACTCACAGAGTCAGGGACATCCTTCAAAATCTTTATGAGTCCTATATGACAGCTGCTATTTAAAATCTAACAAAGTTATCAGAATATCAATTTCACTGAGAGCTGACATATTTGGCTTAATTCATTCAGTTATTTAAATATAGTAACTAGTGGCATGTGAGATTCCCTTTGTTTTCCTATCTGTCCTCTAGCTGATATTCTGGAAGGATAAGGGTCTCCCGGAGTTTGTGAAATTCTGTGAACATGAAATATCTCTGACGATCTACCACATCACAAATGATTTCAAAATATTTAATCACACTCATGATGGCATTGCAGTTCATGTACCTGTACATATAATTAAATCTTTGGCTCTAGGCCTGCCTGCCTTGGTTTAGTAGCCTTTGCTACCCTATCCCAAGAACATGCTAGTACACAATGAAGTCTCACAAATAAGTGTGCTCTCCATTTCTCTTTGTTGAATGAAAATATCTCTCTAATATTTACCAGTGATATAAAATATGTATTTCTGACCTGTAAAAATGCTGTACACTTCATGTTAAATAATTTTTTTATGAAAAAAACAAAATGCTCAGAGTGACCAGGGCACCATGATATCTCCTTTGTCCCTCTTTTGGGAACTCAACTTTTCAGCCTCTAGCTATGCCACATCCTCTCTTTCTCCTCTACCTTCTTCATTTGCTATCCATGGAATTTATATTACAGTATTCACCACGCTACACAGACATCTTATTTTCATATTCATGCAAGCACCTGTTCCCATACAGATGTGTGTCAACTCTCATATTGTCTGCTTCTGTCATATAGGCTTTCTCTGTCACTGTGAGAAGTATTTAGTTCTCTCCATCAACTATAAAGGTGTGGTGTGTTGACCCTGGCTTGACACCAGGTGCTTAGTAAAGCCACTCTATTACTTCACTCCTCAGATGGACAGGGACAGAAAGAATATGATGAAAATCTCATGGATTGAGGTATGGACAAGGAGAGATCACTTAATGAGTTTTCACGATGGACAAACCCAGATTCAACTTGGGGAAATGAATTTATTACCAGTCAAATTAGAGTAGGATAATGAGAAATAAATCCAAATCTTCAAGCACCTTCCCCTCACCCCTCTTTTCTTCCCAGGTTAAACTCCACTCCTGATTTCTGTACATCCTCCCCTGAGTGGTGCAGGGTGAAGAGGTGTTGTAGTTTAACACCAGTCGACAACTAAGCACCATGTACTTAGTGTATATTGTACTAAGTACAATAATTAATTTAATAATAATAAATAATAATAATAAAAGTAATAACATTCAAGAAATGCAAGTGGTGCACAATAAAATTGCTCACCACTCACTGAGCAATGCCCAGCTCATCGCTGAGCAACAACTGGCCCCTTCTGCTTAATTCCACAAAGTTTATATACTCAGCATGACATTCTATGGCATGGAATACCCCTTTGGCTAGTTTGGGTCAGGTGTCCTGCTTCTGCTCCCTCCTGGGATCTTCTGCAGCTCCTCACCGGCAGAACCTGAAAAACTGAAAACAACTTGACTTAGGGTAAGCACTACTCAGCAACAACTAAAACATTAGTGTTATCAACATTGTTCTCACGCTGTAGTGGTTTAAGCCCAGCTGGCAACACAGCCATGCAGCCACTTGTTCACTCCCCCCAGTCCCTCCTCCCCCCACTGCTGGAGGGATGGGGAGGAGAATTGTCCTGGTTTCAGCAGTAGCAGTCATTTTTCTCCTCCTTGGTAGCTCGTGTAGTGCAGTGTTTTGACTTTCAGCTCAGGAACAGAGCTGATAACAAGGGTGTTTTGGTTTGGCCAAGGACTTTGTGAGCCTCATGCTCTGCCAGGGAGGAGGGGAAGCCGGGAGGAAGCAGAGACAGGACACCTGACCCAAACTGACCAAAGAGGTATTCCATACCACAGCATGTCATGCCCAGGATGCAACTGGGAGTTAGCCGGAAGGGCTGGGAGACTGCGGGGTTGGAGGAGGTGTCGGGCTGAGGGGGGGCAAGTTATCGGTCGGCTGGTGCTGAGGTGTTGTATTCTCTTCCCTTGTTATTTCCTTTATCATTATTATCACTGGTGGTAGCAGTAGTGATTTGTGTTATACCTTAGTTACTAAACTGTTCTTATCTCAACCCGTGGGAGTTGCATTCTTTTCGATTCTCCTCTCCGTCCCTCCGAGAGCAGGGGGAGGGCAAGAAAGGGGGGGAAGTGAGCGAACGAGTTACCTGACTGGGTTTAAACCATGACAAGAATCAAAAGAACGTAACACCCACGGGTTGAGATAAGAACAGTCCAGTAACTAAGGTATAACAGAAACCACTGCTGCTACCACCAGTAATAATAATGATAAAGGAAATAACAAAGGAAGAGAATACAACAGCTCACCACCTGCCAACCGATACCCAGCCCAACCCGAACAGTGATCTAGGCCATCCAGGTAACTGCCCCCAGTTTATATACTGGGCATGACGTGCTGTGGTATGGAATACCTCTTTGACTAGTTTGGGTTGGGTATCCTGTCTTTGCTTCCTCCCAGCTTCCCCTCCTCCCTGGCAGAGCATGAGACTCACAAAGTCCTTGGTCAGAGTAAACATTACTGAGCAACAACTAAAAACATCGGTGTTATCAGCACTGTTCTCAGGCTGAGAGTCAAAAACACAGCACTGCACCAGCTACTAAGAAGGAGAAAAATGACTGCTACTGCTGAAGCCAGGACACACACTAAATCCAAAAGAGCACTGTACCACTAGGAAGTAAATTAAAATCATAGAATTATAGAGTATCAAGTTGCAAGGGACCTCGAGGATCACCAGGTCCAAGCTTTCTAGGCAAGCATGACCTAGATTAGATATGCCAACACCCTGTACAGCTGCAAAAAAAACCAAAACCAAACTGTATTAGCTGAAAAGGAAGGACAATGGGGAATGGCGGTTGCTGTCAGCTCATCACATGTTTTCTCTACTGCTACTTTTTATTCAGTCTTCCCCTGCTCCAGTGTGGGGTCCCTCCCACAAGAGACAGTCCTCCATAAACTTCTTCAACATGAGTCCTTCCCACAGGCTGCAGTTCTTCAGGGACTGCTCTAGTGTGGGTCTCTTACATGGGCGCAGCCCTTCAGGAACAGACTGCTGCAGTGTGAGTCCCTTCCATGGGTGCAGTCCTTTAGGAACAGGCTGCTCCAGCATGGGCTGCCTGCAGGGTCACAAGTCCTGCAGCAAAACTGCTCCAGCACGGGCTCCTCTCTCTATGGGGCCACAGCTCCTGCCAGGACTCTGCTTCCACTGCAGGCTTCTCATAGGGTCACAGCCTCCTTTAGGCATCCCCCCTGCTCCTATGTGGGGTCCTCTCTGGGCTGCAGGTGGAACCTGCTCCACCATGGACCTCCAGGGTTTGCAGGGTCACAGCTGCCTCACAATGGGGTCTGCAGGGGAATCTCTGCTCTGCCCCTGGAGCACCTCCTCTCCTGCTTCTGTGCTGACCTGAATGTCTGCAGGGATGTTTCTCTCACATATTCTCTCTTTTCTCCTGCTGCTCTTGAGCAGCAGTTTTTTCCCCCTTCTTAACTATGTCATCCCAGAATCACCACCACCGCTGCTGATGGGCTGCCTTGGCCAGCAGCAGGTCCGTCTTGGAGCCGGTTGCCATTCTCTCTCTCAGACATGAGGGAAGGTTCTGGCAGCTTCTCAGAGAAGCCACCCCTGTAGCTCTCCTCCCTCCAGACCCAGTACGAAAGGGCATCTTATTTTTATTCCTAGGCTTAATTTGGACATTACTTTTGACAATGTGGCTCTAACTATTAGAAAATTACCTAGGAAATATTCAGCTAGGACTGTACATGTGAGTCCACAATTTGTGAAAGAATGCTACCTTGTAGCAATTGACAGACATGTTAATAATTAATAATAACAGTATGTCCTGGGTTCAGCAGTAGCAGTCATGTTTCTCCTTCGTGGTAGCTGGTGCAGTGCTGTGTTTTGACTTCCAGCCTGGGAACAGTGTTGGTGAAACCAATGTTTTAGGTTGTTGCTAAGTGATGTTTACCCTGACCAAGGACTTTGTGAGGCTCATGCTCTGCCAGGGAGGAGGGGAAGCCGGGAGGAAGCAGAGATGGGGCGCCTGACCCAGGCTAGCCAAGGAGGTATTCCATACCACAGCACGTCATGCCCGGGGTGGAGGGGTAACTGGGAGTTAGGACACAGGCTTCCGGGCGGGACTTGTTTCTTGGCCGGTGGTATTGTATTCTCTTCCTTTGTTGTTTTCCCTTATCATTGTTGTAGTTGGTGGTGGCGGTGGTGGTTTGTGTTGTACATTGGTTGCTGGACTGTTCTTGTCTCAACCCGTAGGAGTTGCACTCTTTCGATCCTCCTCCCCGTTCCTCTGGGAGCGGGGAAGGGGAGAGCCCCAGGGAGGGGAGGGCCCTCGATTGCTGTCAGCCCGGCACCACTCACTGGGAGTTAGTGAACAAGTTGCCTGACTGGGTTTAAACTACGACACAGTAATAAAAGTAATTACAGTAATAATAATAATTATAATAATAATAACCAGAAACCTGGAATTAAGAGCTCACAGCAGAATTCATCTGCATAGTAATCATCTAAGGATGTAACAGTAAATGCTTTGCTCCAGGGTTGTTTCCACCCTTTCTTAAAAATCTGTGCAGTCTTTGTTTCTTCATGCTTTATGGAGGGACTCTATTCACATAATATTATATATGGCTCTTGTCAGGTAGTTTTGATTAGGAAAGAGCTCGATATGTAGCTACTTCCAAATTTCCTTGGGGCTTTAGGTAAGATAAAGTCTCCATGAGGCTTAAAAATGGCAACAGAAGGCTGGAGTAGCGGGTTTACTGCTTACAGAAAGAGTGGTATCTCAATACTACAGAGAAATTCTGTAAAAAATACAGGCAAAAAAAAAAAAAGCTTATTAGAGAAATAAATCTTCATCCAAATATTCTTTGTTAGTAGATAAATGAGTAATACTAGCTCTCTTAAATTCACATAAAGTTTTTGTTGTTTTTGTTTGGTGTGTTCCATGTTCCGCACCCTCATTTTGTTACTTTTCCTAGTTATGATAAAAGAGACATTGGGACTTACATCTACTGAATATTCCCTGGCTGAAAAGAAATAGTTACACCCCTGAGTTTTGTTGTTTGGTAGTAGAATTGCGTTGAATTATTCCATGTTAAGATATTTTTTTTTTCTCCTTTTCAGTTCTTTGCATTATTGCCACTCTTTCATTAGCACCGAATAGTTTAATATTTTCATTGCTTACTGTGTTACAGGCCACTTTGTTGTATTAATAAAACCAAAACTTAGATTCCAGACATACAATTTTTTTGAATTATTTTATATGAATCTTCACTTTACCTACCTATTTTACTTCTGTATTTTTCATTTACCTAATTCTTTAAAACCCCAAAATAGAATCATTAAAACCCCCCAAAAAACTCTCTTTTTTTTTTTGCAAATGAAAACCTAAGTTAGAGAAAAACCACAATACTTGTAAGCGGCGAGGAGAAGCAGACAGGCCAACCCAATATGGGTGATAAGCAACTTCTACTTTATTTGTGACGCAGTTCACACATATATAGGAGTGGTATTCAGCCACTCCTTCTTGGCATAACAGTATTGGTTAGCCCCCACAGCTTCCTCCACATTCTCCTCCCAGGTCCGGTCTCCGGCCACCTGTGAGGGCCACCCCCTGCCTTGCTTGCACAGTCCTCCAGAACTCTATGGTCCTGCTCTTAGAGTCATTCTGCAACAATTCCCCCCTTTTTCTTTGTGCAAGCAAGGCATTATGGGTTATTCTGTTCACCTGTTTTATCACACAACTATAAACAAGTCTAATAGCTACGATGATTAACCTAATCAATGATACATAAGTGCAATACTTTTAAACAGTGTTTGACTCAACCTGTAATGCCCCGTGGAAACAACCATCTAATTATTCTTAGAATACTGCTCATTTACTATTGCTGGGTAAGCTGAGCCAGGGTTCTCAGCTGTGCGTGCATCGAATTAGCATAATCAGAGAAACTCATACAACACATTCCATCAAACTCTTCACATCCATGTCCCTGTTCCAACAACAAAAGGTTCTGCAGTGTTGCATGTCTCACAGAGTCAACATTAAAATAAATCAGAAATTGCCTTCGATGTAGAATTGTCTGCTTAGCAACTCAGCAACCCAGTCTGCTTAGTTGAGCCAAGGCCCCGGCTGAAGCACTTACAGTGATTTGGCATATTATGATTGGATACATGTTTTGAAGACCCTTAGTGACTAACATATAATTGGTTAAACACAGGTGTGAGAACTCAACCTTGAAAGCTTGCCAACAGTCCACAGTTCTCATTAACTTGGTGAATTCCAGCCTCTTATCTTGCTTGCTTAAGCTTCTTCGGGCCTCTCATGGCCTTGCTGTATCTTTCAGGACTATTCAAAGTTTATGTACCAATTATGCATTCTCCTGTGAGAACACTGTCTCCGCATCTCCCCCCTTTTGTTTTATCCAGTAACAAGTCGCTACTACAGCAAGGCACACACACATTTACATTAGCAGAGTAACTATTACAGGGTGCAGCAGCATGTTGAAGATGCTGATGGCAGTGAAGGACTAGCCAAAGAAATTTCTTACCAGTGGAATTCTCCCCCCTCTTAATTTGTTCCATCACCTGCTTTATAACACTACCATTGTATTAATTTTTTTCTAGCTTTTGCCTTAGCATTTTCTAGCAGCTACTGCAAATTTCCATACTCTAACATCTCTTTTACAAGTGACAAATCTATACAATACAAGGTGCAGTTTCTTATTAGCAACTAGCTAGTAAATACAGGTGGTTTTATACACAAAATCACAGCCTCTAATAATAGCTACTTTACAAGCACACATATTCAGGATGTTACATTTCAACTGCCCCCAAGTGATGTTTTGCAGTTATTTGTTCTTTCTCTTCCTCCATCTCATTCTGCTTGGGGTAATCACGGTCAGCTCCTGTAGCTGAGGCATCAGGTTTATCCATTCGTCTGTCCAGCTCATGGCAAGGCTTGACAAACTTTGCAGGCAGTCACCATGGACCTGTAGGCAGGAGGACACAAATATACCCCCTCCCCCAGGTTATCAGTTCTTCAGTTCTTGAGAAGTAGACAGGGTAGACAGGTTATGTGCAGCATCATTACTCTCTCTCTCTCTCCCCCCCTCCTTTTTTTTTTTTTTTTTTTTTTTTAGTCCCTGCAAAAGCCATCATTACTCCCACTACAGTCCCACGTACAGAACAAGGACCCTGTGGAGACTAACAGCAAACCAGCTCCAAGAAGCGTCATTGCAGTGCGAGGTGGCAGGCTCAACCTTAGCGGGCGTCCCCGCAGAGGCTCTGCCTCCCCCACATCGC